CAAAAAAAAAAAAAAAAAGAAAGAAACAAAAAGACCTGGGCAGCCCCTGTGGCTCAGTGAGTAGGCTGCTGGCCCCATATACCAAGGGTGGTGGGTTCTAACCTAGCCTAAGCCAAACTGCAAAAAAAAAATAGCCAGGCGTTGTGGTGGGGGCCTGTAGTCCCAGCTACTTGGGAGGCTGAGGCAAGATAATCACCTAAGCCCAAGAGCTGGAGGTTGGAGGTTGCTGTGAGCTGTGATGCCACAGCACTCTACTGAGGGCAACATAGTGAGACTCTGTCTCTAATAAAAAAAAAAAAAAAAGAAAAAAGAAAGAAAAGAAACAGAAAGATCTTACTGGTTGAGGAGTAGGGAAGTTCAGAATCACCTAAAGAACTTTTTCAAAATGGTACAACTTCCCTATACTCACCCCCCAACGTAGAGAAATGATTTTCTCTTATTGCCATCAATCACTGTAATATTCTATTTGTGTGATAACTAAATAAAAAATAAAAACAATATAAATCATCATGTCAAAAAGCTACTATTTGGAATGACACAGTACACTGGTAAATGTCCTGTTCTTTGCCAAAATTGTCATGGATTCCTTCCCTTCCCCTCTTTGCCAACACCTTTCCTTAGAGCCACGGCTGTGATTGTCTCAGTGGAGGGAGAGGACAGAGAAGTCAGTGGATTCCTTCCCTGCAGTGTCAGGGCTGAGGTGCTGGGTCTTAATCAAAGGGAGGAATAAATAGTGCATGTGTTGAGAGTGGAAAGGAGTCCATTTTCAATATTGAAAAAAAAAGTGAGCTCTCTGCTGAGAAGCAGATTAACAGTGTTATAAAGAGTAAGAATGACCGGCCAGGTGGGGTTGCTCACAGCTGTACTCCTAGCACTCTGGGATGCCAAGGCTGGTGGATTGCCTGAGCTCATGAGTTCGAGATCAGCCTGAGCAAGAGCAAGACCCCTTCTCCACTTAAAAAAAAATAAAATAGAAAACACTAGCCAGGTGTCTAGGCAGGCACCTGTAATCTCACCTACTTAGGAAGCTGAAGCAAGAGGATTGCTCAAGCCCAAGAGTTTGAGGTTGCTGTGAGCTAGGACTCCATAGCACTCTAGCCCAGGGCAATAGGGTGAGACTCTGTCTCAAAAAACAAAAAAGTAAGAACAACGTTTGGATCATTTTTTTACCCAGTGATATATGTGGTGTTTTATGTTTCTTAACTATTTTTTTTTAAACTTCTTGATAATATGGATAAACTAAATAAAAGTTCTTGAGTAGTCTGTTTTGTATGACATTTGACAAGTTTCATTTTAACCATGGATTGGCGTCCATGCCTTGCTCCTTCCTACCTCACTCATTACCCTGATTGACCAAGAGTTAAATAATAGAAATAATCGGTTTTCTTCCATGTCAGGAGAGCTTATGAATGGGAGATTATCACCTTATTTCATCTTTGCCCCCTCACTGTCAGAAAATTAGTTAGATTTATTAAAATTTCAGGAAGAAAAAGGACCAACCTTATTCTAAGTCATTCCTTGGTAGCTACTTGCAATAAAATAACCATGCCGACCGTGAGTAGAGGGATCGTGTCCCATGGCCTTCTGTGAGTCAGAGAAGACGCTGTAGCAAAGGGATACAGGGACAAGAAAATCAGGATATGACCATCTCATGTTTGTCCTGGAGAAGGGGAAAGCAGAGTTATTGTGGTGGTAGAGTCCAGAGGAGTGTAAATGCTTAAAAACTAAAACATTGGTAAAGTTGTAAATACTGAAACATTTCCTGCTCTCTCGCATTCAGCCCGGGGCAAGTGTTATTAATACAGATAATTAGGTTTTAAAGAATCACTTTAGTTTCCTTACATGTTACATTTTATTTTGGTTTATGTATAGACTACATTATAGAAAGCAGGCTTTATCTTCTCAACCAAAATTGTGTTGGTATTTTGTGAGGTATTTCTAAATATGCATTAGATTCTACAAAACTAATCATGCTCTGAACATAATTTTGCATTGATGTTTTTACTCATCATTTTATCATCAGCATTTTCTCATTAACTGACCTTGGAAAACATGCTTTTGATGACTTGTGTAGTGTTCAATCATATGAATGTTCCATAATTTATTTACTCACTCCCTATTGTTGAAAATTTGTAGTAAACATCATTAGACTAAATCTTTGACCACAAAGTCATTTATTTCCTAAGGATAGAGTCCGAAAAAATTCCCATTAGTTTGAATTTGCAGTTGGTCTAAAGCAAAATCATGTTATTTTAAAAAGTGATTGCTATTAAACAGACCTTTATTCTTTAAATCAGAGGTGCTTTCAAGATTAATACTTCCTTCCACTTTATTAAATAAAGACCGTACATACATATATCATACATTCTAAATCGTAGTCTTCATTTTGGCAAATGGGGTTTAGTCATTTTTTAAAATTGAATTGTATGTGTTGTGCTTTAGTTTTTTGGGTCCCTCATTCCATAACCTTTCACTTTTCTGTTCTTAGTCTCTTATATGTGGTCCTTCATTTGACATAGCTTCCATTATTCCGTTCTTGGAACCACTCTCAGAAGACACTGTTGCCGGCCTCAGTGTCCATGTTCTGTGTCGTACGCGCTTGAAAGAGCATGAACAGTGCCTAGACGTCCTGTTAGAGAGGTGCCCGGAGGCCGTCATCCCATATGCTAATCACGAACTGAAAGAAGAGAATCGGGTATGCTTTTCAGATTATGTTTCTAGGTTGGATCAATCATAGTCAAATTGGACAATCTTGTTGCCTTTCCTGCAAGTTAGGGGACAACTTAATGCTAGTCCAGCGTCACAGGGCCGTGCAGGTGTAACGAGTATGTACGTTTAGTATGTGTTGTGAGTACTGTTAAATGTTAAAGTATATAGTGATGGTGCATTATCACCATTAAAAATCTCTTACTTGGAAAAGAAGTAGGTGAGTACCTAATGATTTAGGAGACATAATGTATGATGGGAAAATATTTTCTGTGCCATATGATCTTTAATTTGGAAACTAGAGAGTTTTAGACTTTAGTACTTTTTTTCCCTTTTCTTCCTGTCATCTTGTCTCGTACAAGATAACAGGACATGCCTGTTTCTTCTTGAAAATAGCTATGTACATATGAACAATAGACGTCTTACTTTCCAAATTACTTTTATGTTATAGTTTAAGTAGAAGCCTGGCTGCTGATACAACTTCTGTTATAACCAAGTTTGGTAGCTTATCCAAAATAATGTATTTTTGCCCTGTTATTTTCCTACACAATCCTATTTTCATTGAAACTGACCGTAAAATGCATCAAGCTAAAATTGATTTATTTTTTCCTAAGATAGACTCTGTGGTGGAAAAAACTGTTGCCTGAACTTTGTCAGAGAATAAAACATGGTGGAGAGAAATACCGGCTTTACTTGTCATTATTAAAAGGTAAAAGACTCTTTGGTTGATCACACACTTCAGAGTCTGTGTTTTAAATTTGCTAAGGACTTGCTATCTGTAGATTTCTCTTGTGGTTCTCAAGTGAGGTGAGGAGAGCCCTGCAGAATCACCCCGCTTATTTTCAGCATTCATTGACTGCCCGCCGCCCGCCCCAGCACATTTCATCTTTATCTCTTCTAATCTCAGAGCTGGTGTTCTTTTAAATTAATCTTTTCAAACACTAACAAATTATCAAAGTCATACAAACTGACAACTTTAATAGTTTAAAAATTTGAGTAGCCATTAAGGCAATTACATCTTTCATTCATGATCTTGGTGCTTACTTTGTGTAGGAAGTTAAGATTATTATGATTAAACATAATTGTAAGTGACTGTTGATGAGTGACACATTCTCAAAGATTTAAAAGTTGAGTCTATAAATTGTATGGTATTTTACAGTGTAGGTGGTTATTGTTTGAATTCTCACAATTCATAAGCAGTCACTTAAAAATGTTTTTAAAATTTTTTTTATTTTTAGAAGAAAGGGTCTCTTCGTATTGCCCAGGCTAGATTGATATAGTGGCCTTATCATAACTCACAGCAGCCTCGAACTCCTGGCCTCAAGCAATCCTCCAGTCTCAGCCTCCTGAGTAGCTGGGACAACAAGCATGCACCACCACACCCAGCTAATTTGTCTATTTTTTGTAGAGACAGTGGTCTCACTCTTGCTTAGGCTGGTCTCAAACTCTTAACTGCAGCTTCCCAGAGTGTTGGAATTACAGGTGTGAGCCGCTGCACCCAGCCTATTTAAAAATCTTGATAAATAGGTGGCTATCAGTTTCTGTACTGTTGTATGTTAATGTTACTAGGTAATTGTTGGCCTGATGCTACAACATAGGTTATGTTGATTGCAGCGCACATAAAATATTAGAAATTGACACAGTGTTGACTGTCATGTTGAAAATCATGTTTCCAGTCAAGATAATTGATTTTTAAAATGTTAGGCAGAGCCACTGGCCATCAGAAGTTGTTTTTCTGAAGTTCCCCACTTAATTAAAGCTGTGTTTTTCTGACTAGAAAGGAGAAGGTGACTTTATTCTCTGTCCTTCTCAGCTCCTGAGTGCTTTAGGTTTGGGGAAGGTAGGTAGGAGTGTCAGGGGTTTGATTGCTTTGTCTCACTGCATCAAATTGTTTAAGAATTTTATCACTCTTCCCATTGGTGGATCACTTTCCAGTACAGTATGCCACGTCTTCGGACCTCATCAGCATCCTTGTCTTAGTCAAAAGACTTTCTCTTGATCCTTTCCGATCCACATGCACATGTTCTGTGTCCCTCACTTACCCATAATCATATTTCCAAATGTTACATTTTTCTGTATCTTCAGAATACATGTGTGTGTGAGTGCGTGTATGTATGCAGGTCATCGGACTAAGGGCTGTGCGTGACTTACTTTTATTAAACTGTAATTCATTAAGAGCTGCACAGCATTTTGTTCATTTTTCATGCTGTGCTCTCCTCACCAGCAATGCACCTCTCCTGTAGTTTGTGCCTGTTTATTGATTGGAAGACGAGATGCCTCCAGAGCTTCAGGTCCATTTCTCAGGGAGTCTTTTTTTCTCGGTAGCTGGAGCAATCTGAGAAGAGCCCAGGATTGGCGTCTAGAGAAGTGGAACTGATTTCCAGACCTGCCACTTAACCGAGTGACCTTGAGCAAACCGGTTTTTTAATATCCTGAGACTAATGAGAAGTTTAGGATTGACTCTAGAGTTCACTGTTAAGCAGAATTGCAAGAGAGTAAGGTTAGAGTTAGAATTCAGGGACTCACGTGCTGGGAGCTTTGGATTTCTTACCTATCTGATGCAGCTTGTCTCAACCTTGGCACCACTGACATTGGACTGGATAACTTTCTGTGTGCATGGGGGTTTCCCCTGTGTGTTTCAAAATGTTAAGGAGCATCCCTAGCCTCTACTAGCTGGATGGCAATAGTACCACCCTAGCTATAATAAACAAAAATGTCTTTAGACTTGCCAGATATTCTCCTGGAATCGTCCTGGTTGAGAACTACTGCATTAAGGTAGAACCATTGAAAACAAGTTAGTGGATGGCTTACTGTTAGTGGATGGATTGTTTTAAGGAAGTATTTGTTGTTATAATAATGAACTATGCTATTTTTTTTTAATTCTAGTACTGCAGTAAATTACAGAAGTAAAGTTTTAAAAGTCTCTTAAAATCCCACCAGCCAGAAACAGCTGTTCTCAACATTTGATGTATATTTTCTAGCCAAAAAGGAGGCTTTTCAGCATCAGGTTTACATTTAGGCAGATCATTTCTGTGTAATTTGTCAATTAGGGTGGGTGGTGAGGAGAGTCAAGCAAGGCATTTTAATCTTTTCTTAGCCTCAGTTTTCCTATCTCTAAATCAGGCATAATACCCACTAATATATACTCTATGGAATGGGATTTATATCAAATCAATAAAAGCTTAAAAGGATTCTAGAAGGAATTAAATGAGAAGGTGTATTTTAAAGAACTGTATCAACTTTTAAAGTACCCTATCAGTTTAAGATACCAGCCTTGCTATTAAAGTTATAACCTGTATTAGCCTCTTCTTGGCTGGGAGAAAAGAATTGGGCGCTGGCAAGATTTTTGTTGGCTCTGTGAGGGCCTACGCTAGCCCTTCAACCCAGTTTTTTGTATGTAAATTACTACTTACGGGCTCTGTGTTTGGAGAAATGAACTGTTTTGATAGGAAAACATCAATCATTCGTGTTTTGCGCATGGGTTTCATAAATTAGTTGTTTTTTATTAAGGTCCTATTTTATGTCAGACATGCATCATTGCATTTTAATTCTCACAGGAACTCTGGCAGCTAGCAGACAATACTACTATCAGTATATCCTAGATGAGGAACTTGGGACTTGGAGGTTTAAGTGACTTCTTAAAGGCACTCAGGGAGTAGGCAAGAGTCTGGATCCCTTCTCAGGTCTGTCTGATTTCAGGCCAGGCACCATGGTTCATGCCTGCACTCCCAGCACACTGGGAAGCTGAGGTGGGAAGAGCACTTCAGATCAGGAGCTTGAGACCAGCCTGGGCAGTATAACAAAACCCTGTCTCTTAAAAAAAAAATTTTTTTTAATTAGCTGAGTGAGGTAGTACCACTTGTACTCCTAGGTACTCAGGAGTCTTAGGCAGGAGGATTGCTTGAGCCTCGGAGTTGGAGGTTGCAGTAAACTGTGATTGAGCCACAGTGCTCTCGCCTGGGGAACAGAGTGAGACTCAGTCTCTAAAAAAAAATTAAAGTCTGTCAGATCCCACAACTGGGAATCTTTTCTATAAGGCGCTGCTGCTCTGATCCTTAACTCTTTAGCAACAAGGGCGATGGCTTCTTTGTGGAAAGGATGATTTAGGTTGCTGAATGTTGGATAGATGACCTTAGATAGATTTTACATTTTTCATTTACTCTGTACATAGAGTGGTGGGCATGAGAGACTCACACAGTTGAACGGCACTGAAGCAGGGATAGAGTTACACGTGGTACACATGAGACCAAACGGGTGTATATTCGGAACATTGTTCTTAAAAAGCCACCCTTCTTCTCCTGGGAGCGGGTAGCCTGTATCTATTAAGAAGCAACAGAATCATAGAGTTGTAGAGTTATCTTTACAAAATGCATGAAAAATTTTCTAACACCTTTGTAGTTTAGAAAAAAAAGGTTAATCAGTGGTTCTTAGCCTTGCTAATGCCATGACTCTTTGATACAGTTCCTCATGTTGTGGTGACCCCAACACATGAGGAGTTGTGTCTGGGTTCCTAAGACCATTGGAATATGTGTTTTCTGATGGTCTTAGGCGACCCCTATGAAAGGGGAAAGGGTTGTTTGACCCCCAAAGGAGTCATGACCCACAAGTTGAGAACCTCTGGCTTAAGTGGTCATGAAAACAGATTTGTGCTTATTTATGACACTTTTATAATAAAAACTTTAGGAAAATGTCCTTGTATTTCCTGTCCTAATACACAGTTTCTATAATTAGCTTCAGTATAGTTCTAGCATAGAAAACAGTATTCAGATGATTGTATTGTTCTTTAGAAGATAGTAGAAATCCACTGAAAAATAATATAATAATTTAGCAATGAAATAATAAATTGTATGGAGCTAATATAAACTTCAAAAGATTCTAGAAGGGATAAATAAATTATTAAAACCACAAACTAGTCTTAGAGTAGAAAGACTATTGTTTTTTTCTTTGTAATTAAAACATTTTGTTTCCCTAAACTAGCTTCTAATGGGTTGAGTAAGAAGAGAACTAGATGAAAGACAGACTTTCAGTTCTAACTCAGATATTCTTTCCTGCAAACAGAAACATTGTCAGTTGTCGCTGTGGAATTGGAACTAAAGGATTTCTTGAATGTTCTCCCAGAAGATGGCACTGCAGCATTTTTCTTGCCTTATCTTCTTTACTGTAGTCGAAAGAAATCATTGACGTGAAGGTATCATTTGAAAAACCCCATGGTGGCATTTGAGACTGAATTTCTGAAAGTTAATGCCAAGTAAAAACACAAGTAAAGGATTTGTATTTTATGGTGTATCTTAAAGGTGTCTTATATGTAAATAAATGTTTTTAGGCTGCGTACTTGACTGAGTAGTGGTAGCTATCAGTTTCTTTATTTATGACCTGAACCCATTTAACTGTCCAGAATATAAAAAAATCATCAAGACATTAAGAATTCCTCAAAGAAGCCATGTATTTTTAAAGGCAGAGACTGACTTATTCAAAGGGACAACAGCAGTTCACTCTTGTTGGAGACGGGAAAATCCTTGTCATCCCAAGAATACTTTAAGGAAACATTTTGCAAATATGCTTGAAAGAATGTCACTTTCAGTGGCCCAGAATTTTATCTTCTTGATTTTTCCATATTTCTCTATCAGATCCATTTAACAAGAATTTTCTTTGAAAAAGATGTTAATGTTTTGCCAAAGTAAAACTATTCAAATCTTTTCTTGTTTTTGTTGTTGTTGTTACTTTAAGAAAACTCAGGCTGCTTTTTCCTTGAGTCAAATGAAGTAGAAATTTACAAAGCTAAATTCCTTGTCTGTCTGTTAGCAGGATGTGTTTTGGGTGTATGTTATTTTCAGCCAGAGGTTTGTTTCCATTTTTGTACTCGTGTGTACTCTTACTGTTTTAGCTACACAATATGTCAAAATAAAGAAATATATCATTAGATTGACAATTGTGTCTTCTTTTTTAACCTCTTTTAAAACATTCTGAGTCTGATTTCAGCTCATTGAGAGTCTCCTCTGAATTTAGGCAAAAGTTCTACTCCCTGTTGTGTGCCAGTTGTATCTGTAGATTTCCTCCTGACGGCCAGGAGGACTTACTCCACACAATTGTTTCTCAACTCTGCCTTTCTCTAACTTCAGACTTCAGTGTCCTTTTGACTGTTTTATTTTTTTTTAATTTTATTTATTTTTATTTCCTTCCT